TACTTCTTCCACCACTGTGCACCAGCTGGCCTTATTTCAGCCTGGTGTATCACAGCCATTTGTCTTGGTTTTCCAGTTATCGTCTTGATGATAAACAGAGTCAGATAAGATGTTTCTTAAGACGTCTGTGCACAGTAAGAACTTTAGTTTTTTTTTAAAAATTGTTTGAAGGATTCATTTGATTTTCCATCCCGTATTTGTGGTACTATGTGACTTTGCCCTGAGTTGAAGTTGTGAGGAAATCCTTCCCCAGCATGTAAAGGTAAAATTCAGTGGAATAACCCTTTAAACTAAAGTACTTGCAGCAGATTATCACATTAAAAACTGGAAGTGCTTTATAGTAACATTAAAGTTGGATTTACCTTTTCAAATGATCAAAATGAAATAGGCCTGTAATTAAAATCCATGTAAAAACGGAAACATCTGTTTTCCTGTATATGGACATGAAAGAGATTATTGAGCTACAGGAATAATTATCCTATAAACACTGGCGTTTAGACACCAGGCTTCCAAGACGTTTAAAAAGTTTAATGGAGGGTAAACTATAAACCCAGTTTGAACACCTTTGTTGAAGAGAAACTTTTTACTGAACATTATTTGGATTGAACTGATAAGACGATGGGAGCTGGAAATATCTGAAACGAGAGTAAAGAGTAAAGGCTTGTTATCGTACCGTTCTGGTGGTAGCTGGTGCCGTATCCGTGCCGGGGCTGAGTCCTGGGTCTGGGTCTGTAGTACGAGTTGTAGTAGTTATAATAGGGATAATAGTTGGAAGCCTTGTACGGGTCATACGGATCGTCTCCGACCATCATGTCCTCCCGTCTGACCGGTGCAGAGTCTCTGTCGCTGCCGGGCGGCGGGCGCTGCTGCTGGCGCGTCACCGCGCGCAATTGCGCAGCGCCACTGGCTGCGGGGACACGCGGGGAGCCCCGGGACGCGGCGGGAACCGTGTCGTTACCGCTGCTGACGACCACCACAGGGTTGCCGCGGTTGGGTGACCCGGCCTGCCTCCTGTCGGACGGCCGGTACTGGGATCCGCGGCTCAGGATGCTAAAAACCTGACCGTTATGTTGCCATGTCAACCCCCGCCGGAGCGCATCATCATCACCTGCAGCCTCCTGAGCGCAAACCCCGTCCATAAAACTACAGAGGAAACATAAATGTGCAAAAGACAGCAGCACAGCGTCAGGGGAGAGTTCCTTCATGATTCAAAATAAATTATTCCGTTTATAATTATCTATGAAAAAGAATTTTCTTCTTCCCACACACGCAGCTGCTGGTCCGAAGAGTTTCTCTCAAGTGTTGCAGCTCAACAACTACCACTGAGAGAGAGAGAGAGAGA